GTGTTAGAAGGATGTATCTAGTTCAAAATACAGACAGTAAAGAAAACTCAAATGTTTTGTTTCTTTTGTAATTAATTTCTATTCCTTGCCTCTTGTGGTAAGTTGCTTTGTACAGTACCCCTTGAACCACAGACATTACCAAACTCAAATATGTTGATATAAAACACTTGTCATAAATAACCATATCTAACTTTTTTTTTTTTTTTAAATGATACACCACTGAGGACACAAAGACCTATTAAGACTAATAACTGCAATTCAAAAAGCTTATGAAATACATTAACTACTGCCTTGCTAAGAGCATACTGAATGATGACTACAGATTTGATGATCCCTCTCATGGAAAGCTCTTAGCAATTTTTTTTTTTTTTCCACAAGAAATACGAATTGCGAATAGATTCTTTCTCACAGCTCCATTAAAACCAAATCAAACCAAAAACCACGCACAACCCCCCCTCAACCAACTGAATTAGCAAATACAACGCAGTTACCTGTCATGTTGCAGTAAACTTTCAAAGGTCCCAGTGCCCCACTACCATCTGGATCTATCCAGTAGTAATTTGAAGTTTTGCCCAAGTGCTTGTATGCTTCACAAGAGAGTTCATAAATAGCTGGAATGAAATAAAACACAGCAATAAGAATTTTCACATCCTGGGGGAAAAAAATCCATAATGGCAATAAATTGACTCTATTTATGTAGCAAGAGCTATACCTTTGAGATTAAAGTCATGTCACTGATGTTCAGTGAAAACAAAGCATCTTTCCAAAATGGATGATTAAAAGTTTAAGGCATATAATTTCATTTTTTGACACGTGGGAGAAAGCCAGAATAGGAAGAGAATTCTGACAACTTAGGGGGGAGGGAGGAACAACCAAACTGTTTCAAGAGTATATTTAAACGATTTTGAAATTACTTAGGTTCAGGACTTTTTTTATACCCTGGCTTAAGTTTTACATCATAAATGGAGACACTTCTATTGATACAACACATTTTAGTTTTCTTTCGAGAGAAAAAGCTTATGAGTTTTCTCCCAGCAAATTTTAGAATTTTTCATGTTTTATTACCACTCAGAATAATACTTAGTTTCAAAACTGTAAAACATCTCACTACATGTAATACCTGTCTCTACACAGCTGTGTAATTACCTTAGTACAAACCCTCATAACTAATAGTCTGTTCCAACAAGGTCTGAAATTTCACAATATTTACTGGAATAAATTTAATTGATTTACCACAGGGTTTTGTTTCAATTGTTCCTTGAATACTGCTTTCTAGGTCAAGTCATAAAACTGCTTGTCAAATCGTGTTATAATGAATAGCTCAGACATAATAATAAGTATTGTAGAAAGAAGCTTTTCTAGCAATGCCCATATTTTCTTTGAAATATATGAATATTATAAAGTGATGTGCATTAAATATGAATAATTTAATACATAGGGAAAGTAAGACTAGTAACTTATATATATTGGTGTGTTTATATACATAAACACCTAGTAAATTATATAAATATTTTCAAATCAAATTTGAAAAAAAGGAATGTGTAATTCCGCTTGATTGTCTAAGGACCAGATGGTAAAGCCTTTTTGTTTGGAATCAATCAATCAGTGGCTAAAAGAAATGAAATGTTTGTTTAACCAGACTTCAAATCCACTCTAAAAATTCATCTAATTTGTTGGCAATTCTTGCAAGCAATCTCCTTGCTAAGATTGGCATTATTTCAAATGTCCATAAGGATGAGCTGTGTTGCTAGGCTCTGATGATGATGAGTGACTGATCACACACACACATTTAAAGGCTTCTAACCAACTTCTAACCAACAGGAAGGAAAGCCAAGTTAAAAAAAAACAAAACTCAAATTTTGATATTGAATTAATGCAAAGTTAAAGACTGTTATCTGTCTCTAAAGATATCTATCTATAAAGGTAATTTCTTTGTCAATGCTACAAGAGAAAGAATTTCCTGGAAAGTTTTATATGTTCATTACGGTATTTAAAGTCAATTTTGTACAAGTAGACAACACTTTAATTCAGCAGGACCAGGGAAGTGATTCTTCCCCTGTGCTCAGCACTGATGAGGCTGTACCTCAAGTACTGTCTCCAGTTCTGGGCCCCTCAGTTTAGGAAGGATATTGAGGTGCTGGAGCAGGTCCAGAGAAGGGCAGTGAGGCATGCTGAGGGGTCTGGGGCACAAATCCTATGAGGAGTGGCTAGGGGAGATGGGGTTGTTTATCCTGGAGAGGAGGAGGTTTAAGGGAGACCTTTTCTACAACTCCCTGAAAGGAGTAGGTAGGTAGCCAGGCAAGCAGTGACAGGACAAGAGGAAACATTCTTAAGCTGCACGATGAGAGCCTTAGGCTGGACATTAGGAAAAAGTTCTCCGCAAAAAGAGCTGCTGGCCATTGGAATGCGCCAACAGGAGGGAAGTGGAGCCACTGTCCCTGGAAGTGTTTAAGAAGAGACTGGTGTGCCACTTAGTGCCATGGTCTAGTTGACAAGGCGGTGATAATTCAGAGGTTGGACTCAGTGATCTCAGAGATCTTTTCCAACCTAGTTGATTCTGCGATCTGTGAAGATGACATAGAAAGTAAGACAGCACAGGATCACCTCAAAATTCTGTACTTTTTTTTTTTTTTTTTTTTTTTTAATACTACACAAAAAGATCTGTAATGTATAAGACAGAAGGAGAACGGGTAAAAATAGAAATTGAGAAACTCAGAGAAAACCTTGAATAGACAAAAGGATAAACATTTAAGGAACGTTGTTTTAGAAGAGACCCAAATACACTAAAACTTAGAAGAAAATAAAAACAGAATACAAAGAAGAGAACATGGCAGAATCAAAACAGCTTAAATGAGAAAACTGATTAAGATTACAATAAAGAAGCAAAAAAATTAACAGAGCTAAGAAAAGACAAGTAAGCAAAATACAAGATTAGGATATAAAGTTTACATTGTTCAAATGCAGATATGTAGAAATAATTGCATACAACTACATATGGAGAAGGCAGAGGGAGAGAGAGAAGGGCTTTATAGTGTTGCTTTCTTTGATTTCTTCTGGAAAATAGGAAAGAAAAATAAACAAGCAACCCTCCCAGCAAAAACAAACTAACAAAAAAACCCAGCACCTTAGAACATAAGGACAATAGATTTTTGCTTTCCAAAGTAGTAGAAGTAAAATGACAAAATACATGTTTGGCTTCTTGTTAGCT